CCATACACACAGACTGAATCATACACACTGATTCACACTTATCAGCAGCTGCCTGGATGCTTCTGTGCAGAGCTGAGCTTCCTCTTCCTGTCTCTCTCCGGTGCTGCGCTCTATGACCCAGGAGGAAGTCCTCCCAGCACAGTGCCCCTTCTGGCCACACAGGGTGGAACACAGTTCCACAGTGACAGTGCTGCTGCAGTTTGTGAAGGGAGACTCAGTTCTCCCGACTTTAATTTCAATTGGGGGGGTCACAAAGGGTGGCACTGCGTGACGTAGGGGGGTCCATGGCCCCCTCTGGCCACCATCTAGTGACGCCACTGGAGTCGCTCAAAGTGGCAGATAACCCTATCTACTCTCTTAATAATAGAGTCCCCTACCACCACAACCTTTCTAGCCTTCCTTACACTCTCAACCCCACCCGTACAAGAGGGGCTGTTCCCACAGCTGTTAGAAGGAACCGCTTCCTGCAGTACAGCTGCTCCTGAGCGGATGCTCCTAACATCTTTACCCAAACAAGCAAATCTGTTAGGCTGCACAAGATCAGGACTAGCTAAACCTTTCCTCTTCCCTCCCCCCTCCCTTGCTTCCTCGCCCGACTATTACCCAGCTATGTGCCTGTTCCTCAGCTGTCTCATCTCCTCCCACTCCACTACCTGCCCCCACTAAACTCTGCTCAGTGAGCAGCAGACTCCTCTTAAGATTGTCAATCTCCCTCAGTGTTGCAATTTGCCCCTCCAGATCTCCAATTTGAGCTTCCAGAAAAGCCACTCTCTCACACCCACCACAGAGGTATAGACCCTGGACAGATTCAGCCAGGCATCCAGGATGTGCACTCTTGCTAGCACTCATCCCCACTTACCAAAAACAGAAGTGAGCAAAACAATATTTACCCTCTTGGTTTAGACTTACTTATAGTTTCAACTCCTACTTAAAAGAGCCTACTTTCAAGCAAACTCCAGTGAGCAAGCTCTGTGAGTCAGTAGTGGGATTGTATTGGCAATACAAATCCCACACTGGTGGAAATTAAGGGGCACTCACCCTAATTAGCTCAACAGCAGCAGCACCCACAAGGAGGGTTATACAAACAGCAAGAGAAAAACATAAAGAGGGAAAATGTTTTAAATAAAAACAGCAAAGAAATAAAAATATGTATTAGAAAAAGTGAAAACAAGTTTTGAAATTAAAACAGTAAGAAGAACATTATAAATAAAAAAGAGGGGAAAATATTGAACCCCTTAAGGATCAAACTTCTGGAATAAAAGGGAATCATGACATGTCACACATGTCATGTGTCCTTAAGGGGTTAAATAAAAACAGCAAAGATAAAGGCAAAGAAAACCATGATAACTCATATTTCATATTTTTTTCACCATTTTTGTTAGTACTGAGTCAGGAAACCTTTTGCTGCACTTACAGACTTACGACATTCAGTGTGAGGGAAAAAAGATCCTATCCATGTAAGTCACACCTCAAAACTCAGCCAGTAAGGGAAAAGCCTAACTTTCAGGAGGTCTTCCTCAGGTCCATGTATTTCTTTAACTGAACATGCATGGCTATATATGCCGCCATCCCCAACATGGAGGCACATCCTGTCCTGAGCATAGTATCCATTCCCACCCCAAGATGTCCTCAGTTTTGTCTGTCATTTCATCACTTCCTGTGACGGCTTCTCGGTGATGCGACTTGATCTTCACATTGTTTCCTGGCATATATATAGCCATACATGTTTAGTTGGAGAAATACATGCACCTGAGGAAGACCTTGTCACGTCCTGTTCCTAGCTGTGGCTCATTCTGGCAATGGTTTCTGGTATCCAGTACTCTTTTTACAATTATTGTTTAGTTTTTATTGGTTTTTCTGGTTTTCTATTCCATGTCTGGTTTTCTTTATTGCCGGGATTTCTGGGTTCCTTCCTGTAATCCGTCCCTGGAATTCCCAGTGTCCAGGTTCCCTTTAAATGTTTGTTTTATGTTACCACACCCGTTTGTTTTCCATTTTCCTTGTGTTTCAGTCTGGACCTGCAGCAGTGTTTCAAGTCTCTGCCCTTTCTTGCAGGTAAGTGCTATTGTGGTTTAGTATGGTTCTTTTAGCGAACATTAGGCAGTGTAGGACCTGCCGAATATGAGGTACATTGGCGTTGTGGCAGGCTTATGCAATGTATGATCATATAATGTAATGTTATCTTGAAAGCGCTATTCTGTCCTTTATTTTTACCTTTTTTAACTTTTAGGAAGACTAAAATAAGAACTTTTGTGGAATTTTACCATTTGCTAAATTTTCTATTTTGATGAAATTGATACATTCTTTATTTGTATTTGAGTGGTATACAGTGGTATGTGTAACGGACCGTTTCAGCACACAAGGGGTTAAAACCGTTTAGGCGATCGTCCCCTTTCAGAGATGCAGGCACAGCTACCGTAGAACACCAAACTCATGAACCGCATGTAAGGGAATGCTCCAAACTCCCGAACGGCATACAATGTAACACTCCAAACTCACGAACTGGAACCATACGAATCACTGCTAGCAGACGAATAGGAAAAGCATCCAAGCGGCTTACACTCCTAGCAATCAGTCTCTATCAGCATTCAGTAAATCCCCCCAAAGACGATACAGCTCCGTGTTGAGGGTCGAGCAGTGGTCTGTTTAATGAGGGCTACCTGCCCAGTATTTATGCAGGTCTCCCACCTGGTGGACACTCCCCTAGGGGACCAAATGGGAGACTGTGACAAGGGACAGACAAGTAGCCAAATAGGACACACAGTCACATTGTATTCCCACAATGCATCCTGGCTTCCTCCCCTCTGCCCTGGAGATAATTGAGAAGTAATTCAATTATCTCCCAGGACAAAGGCAAATCGCCATTATGCACGTGGGATACTAAAATAAGAATTACTATTAAAATACACTATTTGACACACATTACAATAAAACTATACATTTAACATATCCCCAGATAGCTCAGGTCTGAGCGCACATTATTAAGCGAATGGCGCTCAGACCACACGAATACAGTTCAATCGCCATGGAGCCAAAGTCTTTACAAAGTCAGTTCTCATACGAATGAGCTGCATGGGATTCCTATCTGGGGTACAATACAGTCAGGTAAAACTACCGAACACCGGGCCATTCGTGCACTCCCGCCGAACAAGAAGGCGGTGTTCGTGCCAAACTGTGTCCGTTTTTAGTTCCATGAGTTAAGCACCGAACACCGCTGTGCCTTCGCGTGTTTAAAATGGCCGCGACCTCGTGTTCGTTATACGAATGGAGGCCACCCGGTATTCGTCAATTAAGCTGCGGTTAACCGCAGCTTCTGGGAGGCTAATTGCCGGCACACTCCAGCTCCCAGGTGGTCTAGTCATTTGTGCGGTTGTTCGGTAGATTGAATCTACCGAACACCGGGCAGAAAAGCACGAATAAGTCTTTTCTGCAGGGGAAACAAAGTATTTTAACATGGGGCCTTAATCCAAAGGCAGCAGGCGAGCAACCAGGCTTCTCCAATGCAATGTGGCGAGATTGCTCGTCACAGTATGCAACAAACATAAGCAGTAGTTTGACCATAGTAGAATCAGCATTGGCAACACTGGTGAGCCATAGGTTCTGCTAGGTACTCTGCAAATATACAGTGATCCATGGAGGAGGGAGTACTTGAGTAGAGTGTCGCGGTGGGTACGAGCCTGTTTGGGGACAAGTTCATGGAGGTTGCTAGCCATCGAATGTGGCTGGGGAGCCCCAGCCTCATCTGTGGTAAACCACCTACAGTCCCTAGTTCCATGTGTCTACCTGCTATCATCAGGGGTCTTAAGTTATCTGTATGATGTCCACCCCTCAAGTATTTTATCGGTCAGGTGAAGCCCAGCCAGCACTTCTAGTGCTGGCTATAGAGTATAGAAACTGTTGGCAATGAAGTGTGCTGGTAAGAGCCCTGCTTGGGGATCCTGGTGGGGAGGTGGGCCTAAGGGCAGACAAGGCGTGGCACCCATACCCTGCATTCTGCAACCCACATGGAGCAGCTGCAGGGGCAAGTGGGTGAGGAACCACTGAAGAACAGTGGCTCTCGCCTGCAGCCAGAGCATCCGGTGAGTGCCTCTCCCAGCACGTTGTGACACATAGCCACAACCCATGTTTAAACATGAAATATGTTGCATAACATTAGTATGAAAATGTTTTTCTTAAATAAAAATTGTAATAGCGTCTTTGAATTTATAAACCAGTTTTTCTACTTTTTGTTGTTTTCCACGGAAATACTTGATTTTATCTCAAGTATGACTAACTGCTATTTAAGCCCGAAACTACATCCCATTCTACCATTTCATCCACGTTGGTGTGGTAGCTGTAATTTTTTACTGAAAACCTTAATACATAGAAGAGTAAACGCCTGTTCAGTTAGTCTTTCAAGGTACTGTGTTCCATAACTTTGTGCTGCAGATTGAGAAATTCATGAGCTGGGAGCTTCCGAGGAAAGATTAACTATAAACCTCCTTAAGGTAACTCAATTTTCTTGTTATGATTTTATTAATATCTGACATATCTTTAAATGGTTTTTTCTGCGACTGTATATTTAAGAGACTGATGGATTGCCTTCATCTCTCTAAGAAGTTTATTTCTGGGCCCCAACTCTTCGTCAACGTAAAAAGAATGATATCACAAGAATCTTTGATTTATATTACTTCTCATGTATGACCCAGCTTGTTATTTCACCTTTGCTTTCTGGGTTTCCATAAATTATGAGATCAATTAATGTTATCAGACTGGACCAGCTTAAAGAATTACTCTTTCTCTCATCTACCTTTTAATCTCGAACTGATTTACTATATACTATTTAGACTGTTAATTTGAATGTGTCTTTAAGGTTCCCCTCTCTCTACTTAAATTATTACTGCAAAACTACGTTGTTTAAGAATTTGAAAAAGGATCTCCCAAACACTTACCAATTACCTGTTGAGACTTGGATTGTTTTAAAGACCTTTTGTAAAACTTATCTTTTTTTTCCATCAATTATTCAGGACAATTTGCATTACATTTATTGTTACTCTGAGGTGGATAGAATTCTCAGCCGATTATTTCAAGTCTGAAGAAACGTTGTCTACTGAAAACTAAAGGTAAAATTATGGTTTACTTACCTTTAATTTTGGATGTTCCACCTTATTTCTGAAAATTTGTAAATAAATGAAAGAAAGATAATTATATTCCTTCGATTCATATTTATAAACAAAAGGGTTCAAGGAAAACATAACATTCATACCTTTTACAACTACTGTGTTTTGTTTTGTTTTAGGGCCCCTATACTCACTATTCCAGGTTACTTATCATTCATGCCATTTGTTAATCCCTTATACTCACCTTACTTTTCCTCACATTGTCTGCCTCCATTATGGAGATTGTGCCTCTTCAAGCAGGATAAGTTCTGGCACAACCCAATGGTAAGATGTAGAAAAATATATCTAATTTAAAATTATATATTTTTTTAGAATTACTTTTTTTTTTTTATTATTCTAGAAATGGGTAATGAAAACTCTCATATTGCCAATGCTTGTAACGCTGAGATCATGATCTACTTTGAATCAAAGAAGTTACACATCACAGAGATAGCATTTGAAGTCACTACGGACACAGGTGTAAAAGCTTCAGAAAAGGAGGTTGAAGCGCATAATAACTTAGCTACAAAGTTCAACGTGAACCTAAAGCCAGATTCTAGGATCCAGTACATAAGATGTCCTTCAAGAGAATACATTAAGATTCCTCTGCAGGGAACGATCTATGTGACAGTCATTGCAAAACGTGGAGATAAGAATGAGCTGATGTGCATGAACTTCATGGTTCCAAGTGATCGATCAATCATTGTCATTGATAATGGAATGGTCAAGTTTGCCAAGTATGGCTCTCTGTGGAAGGATGAGGATGAAAGATATTACTAAGGTATGTATGTGGAGAGTTAAGAACTCAGGACTAATTATTGAAACTAGTGATATAATACAGAATGCTAGGCACATCTACAAACTATTAACACGATACCCAACCGTTGGTAATTGTCATAAAGTACAAGTGAAAGAATGTTCCATTTGCTTGATAATGCATTATGCAATACAATGTATCTATAACTGTAATGGGTCATATAATGGGCACTTATAGAGAGAATGGTAATAAAGGTTCTGGCTCCAAGCACCAGAAAGTGTAGGGAGGAAAAGTGTGCAAAAGCATGTAAGTGTACAGAAGGAGGAGGAAATAAGTATGGCTGGTTGATTCCAAAAATCGAAAGAGAGTCTTCCTCCTAGATTCCCAAAGTTTTTTTTAGGTGCTCAGTAGACTTGTGCAAGGAAGAAGTAATTTTGGGGGCCAAACCATGTCATCCATGTGGCAGTTCAGATCGTCAAAAAAAAAAAAATTGTCCACAAAAAAAAAGATTCAGAAAAAAACAAATTGGATGAACTAAATAGGGTGCAAAAATGGGTCAACCAATATACTGCAAAAAATATACATAATATAGAAGCATTTTACAGCCATTTAATTCACAGAAAAAGTGAGAAAAAGTAACAAATAGAAGTAAAAATGTGTATTTTATATATATTATATACATATATTAAAAAAGGAAATATTCTTTTTTTTTTTTTAAATAAAATCAACATTTAGTTTCTGTTTCATGGACAATAATCAATTTTTTTCCCTTTAATTATTTATTTTTTTGGGTGTCACAGGCAGAACTCCAAATCCCAATGCAAACAAACATGTTTGTCAGTTGAACGAGTCATTTGCTCAGTTGTACATCCATATGGCAGTTTAGAAGTCGGGAATTCCGGCGTTCAGCCTATCGACAAAAATTCTAATAAATTTCAGTTTGAAAAAAAATGAATCTCCAAGTTTAATACTCTGTGTAAAAGATCCTACATAATATATAGTGCAGTGAGTGCTAAGAATGGTGGACTCTCCCAGTGTTCTCTGCATTATAGCAATGTGTAATAAAGCTGCCTAGGAGCTCTGCCAATAAACGTTGATACATGCACCATTATGTTTGTTTCAACCACAGAGACTGTTGGTATTCAAACACTGTCTGATCCAAGGTGCACATATATGACCAAATGATGAATGAGTTTCTATTTTTTTTTTACATCTACTTTGTTTAAATATGTATATATTGCCTATAAAACTTGATAAGAGCATTATTATATTAAAATAGGTTTGAGGTGAAAGTTTTCTCTTAAGATCACAGGGAACCGTGTAAAATTAAAAAAACATAAGATTTTGCTTGCTCTGCCATTCTGTCAGTTGTACCTCTCTTGCTGAGACTTGAACATAAGTACTTCCCCTTTCTAAGGTTAGAGCATTCCTTCACAATAAACTGATGGGCCAAAATTATAATCATACTGTCGCTATCATTAAGGCTGTTCAAGCTTATTTACTGCTATTTGGTGATACCAAATAAAACTTTGTAAAGTTACACTCTTCATTCATAAAAAAACAGGTTTGAAGTATTGGCATAGAAACATAAATACATTTTGTCCTACAAATCATTGGTATGACCAACAGACATACAGACTCATTTAGATGCCATGAAATGAGTTTTTCTATGGGAACTACTAGTGCCTTCATGAATGAAGGTTTTCAAAAATACCACCTTAATGTAGAAAAACAGACATAATTTAGAGTAAACTTTATATTAAAGCTTGTATATTTTGATTTATTCTGTAACCTCTTTGTCACATAAATCACTTTCTAATGATGCCTTTAAAGTCTATGAATGGCAGGGTTATAGAGTATGTTGATGCCATTTCTATTTCTTTCCTGTTTGTAGGCCAGAAGTATTTGAGAAGAGATCACGCTATCCATTCCATGTCTGAAATGACCAGGGTTCTTCGGTGTCAAAGGAGTTCTTTCAAATCTAAGCTTTTTCTTTCAAATAAATCAACTTGAGATTCTTGAGAATGGAGGGTGAGGGGAGACTGATCTACTACTGGCTAAAGGGAAAGGAGTGTGAAACTGGATTACCATTGTTTATGGAGACTGGGTGTAAAAATAAATACCTACTGGTTATGGGGACAAGAGTGTGAAAAATAGATTACTGCTGTCTATGTAGAGAGATTGATAGAATCACCTACTACTGGCTATTGGAAAGGGAGAGTGAGATGGGTCTATTACTGACTATAATGGGGGAACAGGTTGAATGAGATACTAGTAGACAGGGTTGCGGGACAATTGGCTACTGCTTAAGTTTTAGCACAGGAGCAGAATTAACAGCAGTTTAAAACTGTAATAGAGCATGTGGATACAATAAATGTATGATTCTTAGTTGAATTATATTTGGGAAGAGCTTGCACTGTCCTTTCAAATTTACCAAATTTTTTGTCAAATAAAGTCAGCTTAAAATTTATGAGAGTCTGGTTTTCTTTACTTTGACTGATATTTTTAACTATTCCTCTTCATCATATACAGGCTGATGCCAGGTAACATAGACTGTCTCTGTTGCCTGCAATTTACTAAACTTTAGATGGCTGTTAACTACTATGATCGCTTAAGGTCATATAAACTTTATTAATCTGCTAGCATAATGTGTCATATGGGGCAGTATCATTTACAAATTTTACTCTAGTACAAATCCTAAGACAGATACAGTTTGAGTTTTAGTTAGGTGACGTTCCCACAATTTCTTTAAAAGTTTTTAAAATCAATTTTATGTTGAATTGTTTACATATTTATGTTGCATACTTTCAAACCTTATGACTGTAGTAAAATTATCTAAACTGTGCTCAGCGACAGTTGTGCTCAAAAGTTTGCATACCCTGGCAGAAATTGTGAAATTTTGGCATTGATTTTTAAAATATGACTGATCATTCAAAAAAATATATATTTTATTGAAGAATAGTGGTCATGTGAAGCCATGTATTATCACATAGTTGTTTGGCTCCTTTTTAAATCATAATGATAATAGAAATCACTCACATGACCCTGATCAAAAATATACATACCCTATAATGTTTGGCCTTGTTACAGAGTGGAGTCCGACATGCAGAATTAAAGACCCTTTGCAATTTTACACAAGCCAAGGGGACTCAAGGTAGCAATCCCCAAGGCTGTGAAACAGTGCACTGGGGCTGATAATAACCAGTGCTTCCAGGAACGAGGTACAGACAAGGAATATCAAAAAGAGTAGTCAAGGACGGAATCAATAGTCAGGATAGGCAGCAAACAGGCATTAACGGAATACTAGCAGAGGATCAAAAAGCAGGAGTCAGATGAACAGCAGGAATACCAAACAGGAACAAAATGATCTGACCATGTGTAACAACCAAGGTGGGGTTTATATATGGATATATCAGCCACTTATCAGGAACAGGTGGGCAGGGTCCAGACATAGAGATAAGGAGAATAGGATGCCAGGAAAAACTAGAAACAAACAAAGATGCATGTAGTCGAAAGTAAGGTTACTGACTGGGAAGCAGGAGACCCAGGTTCAATCCCAGCCAGGCCCAAATACCAAATATTGTGTATGGCATGATGATAATCGTGACACACATAAGTTACAAATGGCAATTAAAGGTTAATTTCAATATGTGTATTTGTTAGCTCTCACTGAGCAGGCTGGATACTGAGCCATGGGGAGCAGAAAAGAACAGTAAAAAGACCTGCGTCACCAGGTAATGGAACTTTATAAAGATGGATATAAAAAAAGATATCCAAACCCTTGAAAATGCCAGTCAGTACTATTCAATCACTTATTAAGAAGTGGAAATTTTGGGGATGCCTTGATGCCAAGCCAAGGCAAGAAAGATTTCACAACTGCCAAAAGAATTGTTCGGAATACAAAGAAAATTCTGGTGCTCTCTACATAATGCTGCTCCAACTTACCTATCCTCCCTAATACACAAGTATGTCCCATTGAGGCCCCTGAGCTCTGTCGAAGACTTACGTCTATCCTCTGTCCGTACTTCCACATTTGATGCTCTTCTCCAAGGCTGCACCTTTTCTGTGGAACTCCCTCCGTTAGACTTTCACCCAGTCTCCACTCCTTCAAAAAAATTCTTTGAAAACACACGTCTTCAGGAAAGCATATTGTGACGGACCACCTGGCACCCAGACTGGGTGTCTCCACCAATTGTTGCTCCTAGTGCTTACCGAGGACTCCAAGCACTCCACCGGACACCATCAGCACCGTATACCCCAAAATCCGCTGCAGTTGGTTGGGGTCTCGCCGTCCTCCACCCACCCTGGTCCCAAGACCAGGATCCAGCTTCCAGTGGGTGAACCTCTCCTACTCCAGAGAGTATAGCAGGAACAGCTCTTATAAGAGCTAGTGATTATAATCATAGAGAGTATAATGAGTATAGCAATCCCCAGAGTGAATATAGCTGTCCCTTCCACACATGAGACGAGGCTCTATGTTGAGAGTGAAGAGGAGCGATTTTAATGGTGCCACACTTGGCCTTTTATGACAATCCCCATGCAAGGGGCACTCCCACATTGACCTTGTGGGGAACAAAGTCACAGACCAATAATAATGCATGAAACTCCCACACATAGCATACAATTCCTCCCCTCTGCCTGGGAGATAACTGAGTGAGATACTGTATTAACTCAATTATCTCCAGGCAGAAAAAAATACATATTATTATAAAACCCCATAACTTCCCCAGAAACACATAATATTATTATTATTATTATTATGATATTTATAGAGCGCCGTCAAATTCCGCAACGCTTTAAATCCCCACACATCCCCTGATAGCCCTGATCTGGGTGACCAACATTTCCAAAAATCACCCAGATCAGATCAGGGGTTCAGGAATTACCTGAAAGTCATTTGTTTGACAGACCGCAGGCATGGTCCCATGCCCAAAACATTTCCAGAGAATCAGGGCTTATGGTTGGTCTAGTTCAGTAGTTTGAAACGAACAAACTACCGAACAGTCAATAGTCTTATCCTGGAGCTTGCTGCCCTCATCCAGACGAATGATTTCACCGAACAGTGCCCTTGTATAGAAATTAACACAGGCGATGATGGAAGTCCAGCGGTGTTCGGGAGTTTCTGTGTCTGATTTTAGTTCCATGAGATTCATGTCCAAACACCACTGCATGCGAACAAGATGGCCATCACCTTGTGGTTGTCCATAGGAATTGCAAACACCCAGACGAACAATTAGAACACTGCAGGGAGAAACATTCCATGTTGTTAATAGGTGTTAACAAGCTCCAGGGTGGTCTCTGGTTCGTGGGGTTGTTTGGTAACCGAACCATATAGTCCCAATTGCACGAACAGAGTCTGTTTAAAGTATTTTATCCAGGTCTATTGCAAGGAACATAGTCCTAGGGTAGGAGGCTGGAAAACAATCCCCTTCAAGAACCAGTGGCAAGGTTACTTTCGCCACACATATCCTTTAAATTGTTAGCGGGTTTTAATTTCCCCATCCCCCTATGACTCCTCTCCTGCAACTGTCAAAAATAACCTACTAAGTTCTCAGTGATTACTTTTCTAGCAACCTATTCCACTACCCCTACTTATACCCTTTGTGTCACTATACCCCACTTCCTCAAGCATGTAAGCTCATTGAGCAGGGCCCTCAACCCCTCTGTTCCTGTGCGTCCATTTGTCTGGTTACAATTACGTGTCTGTTAGTCCACCCATTGTACAGTGCTACAGAATTTGCTGTCGCTATATTAATAATAAAATAATGATAATATAATCTGGAGAGAGTTGCTCAGTTAATTTGGTAAGTATATATAGGTGTAAGATATCTAGGTGGTAATCGGAAATTGATAGTGATGCGTAATTATTGCAACAGCATTTCCGTTACTGCCAAATTTTTTACATAGTTTCTTTTAAGGCTAATGTAGACATTTTGATACTTTGTTACAACCTCACACAACTTTTTTTTCTCTTATTTCTATATGACTATTCTATTGCGATTACCACCTAGATATCTGACACCTATACTTACTTACCAAATTGACTGAGCGAGTCTCTCCAGATTATTACATATTTTAATTTTCCCTGTCTTGTATTTAGATTTTTCTAGTTTTGTCATAGTTTTGTTATCTAAAATATTAAAGCATTTTAATTCTTACTATTAAAGCATTGTTTCTGAAAGAAAGAAACCTTCCCCAATATGTAAATGGGATCTCGAATTACACACTGAATTCCCAATGGAGGAATGGTTATAAGAAACTAAACGAGTAATTCAGAATATTCACTGAATCTCTATGTTGGAATTGCATTATAAACTTATATATAGATGGTATTAGTTCCCATGTGAAATAACTCTGATATCTATTGGAGATGTAACTCAGAGACGGGGAACTTGTCACAAATATGGTGGAACTGTACTAGATTGGAAACTGTTACATTTCAAATTAAATCCTGCCTCCAGAAACTATTTAATATTGATAAGCTCACCCCTTATATGTTTCAATGGAACATAGATTTTCCCTCTTGTAACAAAACTCAAGAATGTTTAATAACTTATATTTTCTTTGCAACTAAAATATTAATAGCTCATTACTGGATCTATTGATCTAAACTGGTCAACTATATGTGATCAAATCTCCTATCAATACAGAATGGAACGCAGTTCTTCATAATTAGAGATACAGTTGAAAAAATTGAGAATTGGTGAGCACCCTGGAAGAACTATATAGCTCAATAACATACATAGATTGATAAATTCTGACAATAGAATTATAATTATATAAATTAAGATTCTGTTATCCTTGTTCTATTTTTCCTCTTAGTAGTAAATTTAGCAACTTGATGACCTCACTCCCCACCAAGGCCTCCATGTATGAATGTATGAATGTATAAATGTGGTGTGGATGTAAAATTTTTCTGTATTACTTTGTATGTACCATATTGATTTATATTACTGTGATTTGTACTTCATTATATGAGATCCCAATAATGATACATATCTAAAATATTTATCACTTTTTGCATGTACAAATTAAAAGCATGGTTAAAAAAAAAATACTTTTCAAGAAATATTTATAAACAAAAAAAAAGCAGAAAAATGGGGAATAGCCCAATTTCCACCATCGCAATGATGCACAGAAAGGTAAAGGACAATGTGGAAATTGACAAACTCACTGCCCTTATTCATGAAACATCTAAACACTTTCACAAAGTATGGGATTTTTGGTTGCAGATTGAAGCCAAGAGTAAACTGCACCATTTTACCATTTAAAAACTATTTTAGCTTAATACTCCTCTATCTATCTTTCTCTTACTTCTCTTCTCCTTCTTTCTTACACAGTGGATGACTTATTGTACATCTATCCATCCAACTAACCCCTTCCTTTCCTTTTTTTCCTTTAGTCTTATTATTGGTCTATTAAACTTGGGAAACGTAAAAATTCCCAGTTGGCCCTTTCCCTCATTTATCC